ACATGCAATATTCAAAATGTGGGTTTACTATGGATTTAAACAGGCAATATATTTTGTCTTATCTATTCCTTTCCTAATGATTCCCAACATTGTTAGCTTTTTTGACTGCATATTTATACATAACTGAGTAATAGTTAATTTAACCTACACTACAGATACTATTTGGGGTAGCCGTGTTAGTCTGAATCTCTAAAAAGCAACAGAGGGTCCTGTGGCACCTTTAAGACTAACAGAAGTATTGGGAGCATAAGCTTTCATGGATAAGAACCTCACTTCTTCAGATGCAAGTCACCCACAAAAGCTTATGCTCCCAATACTTCTGTTAGTCTTAAAGGTGCCACAGGACCCTCTGTTGCTTTTTAGAGATTCAGACTAACACGGCGACCCCTCTGATACTTAGTATCTGTAGTGTAGGTTAAATTAACTATTACTCAGTTATGTATAAATATGCAGTCAAAAAAGCTAACAATGTTGGGAATCATTAGGAAAGGAATAGATAAGACAAAATATATTGCCTGTTTAAATCCATAGTAAACCCACATTTTGAATATTGCATGTAGATGTGGTCACCCTATCAAAAAGGATATATTGGAATTGGAAAAGGTTCAGAAAAGGGCAAAAAAATTATTAGGGGTATGGAACAGCTTCCATAGGAGGAGTGGTTAATAAGGACTTTTCAGCTTGGAAAGGAAAGGGGGGATATGATAGGTCTATAAACTCATGACTGGTGTGGAGAAAGTAAATAAGTAAGCATTACTTACTCCTCATAACAAGAGCTAGGGGGTCACCAAATGAAATTAACAGGCAGCAGGTTTAAAACAAAAGGAAGTATTTCTTCAAACAATGCACAACCTGTGGAACTCTTTGCCAGAGGATGTTGTAAAGGCCAAGACTATAAAAGGGTTCAAAAAAGAACTAGATAAATTCATGGAGGATAGGTCCATCAATGGCCATTAGCCTGCATGGCAGGGATGGTGTCCCTACCTCTGTTTACCAGAAGCTAGGAATGGCTCACTTGAGGATTACCTGTTTTGTTCATTCCCTCTGAAGCATCTAGCATCGGCTGTCAGAAGACAGGCTACTGAAGTAGATGGACTTTTGGTCTGACCCAGTATGGCCGTTCTTATGCCTAGTAAGGAATCTATGTGCCAAAAAACATTTCCTGAATCCCTTTTTGTTCTAATATTGTTACAGACATACTTGCGGACAGGTATTTTGAAATTAATAATTGGAAGTGGCATGATTATATTGTTATTTTGACAAAAAATGTGGAATTTTAAAATAGAGTGCAGAATTTAATTTTTTTTGTCACAGAATTCCCCCAGGGGTATACAGTGAGAATAAAGCTTATCTGTGTAGAAGACAAATTTCTGGAAGTCCCAGCCAAGAGCGTAAAATTAATTCCTCCACAAACAAGGACTATCACAAACCTCCCTACCTTCTCCAATGGCAAGGACCATTTCTTTGACCTTGCCTTCTCTGAGATAATACAGCCACCCAGCTGGTGCTTTGTTTAATTTAGATAGGATAAATGCATCAGAGGTGTTAACATAACCCAGACAGTGTACAACATTAAACATGCTTAAATAGGTCCAAAGCTTGGACTACAGACATCACCCTACTTATACTAGGGCAAAAATACCATTAAAATCATGTTAACCTTTTATTAAAGCTACAGAAAAGAAAAAACAGTTAAAAGCATTTGAAATGTAGTGTTAAGGGAGGCTTTAGTTTAACAATATTCCTTTTTTCTTTAGCTGTATCTAGTGTTCAGAAGGAAAAAGCCCCTGTTGCTTGACAGTATCTTGGATGTAACCAAAAACAGGTAATAACCGACTGTCTGAGGAAAAGAGAAGTAGTTGAAATGGGTTGGAGATGTCTTGGCTGCTACTGTTAAAGTCCAATCTTAGAAGGAAAAGCCCCCGTGTTTGACAGTCTCTTTGCTGATACCAAAGATGATGGTAACTGTTATCCAAGATGGTTTTGGGATTCACATGTGGAGCTTATAGAGGTGATGATCTGGGTCCCCCACTCTCAGGATCAGGGTGACAAAGGCCCAGGGTCCCAGGAAACAGTGGGGATAGCAGCCGCAATGGTGAAGCTCATTCCAGAAGCCTTTGTCTGTTCTTTAATACTTTCGCCACACAATCTTTCTTTTAAGGATCCAAAAAGAGAGTGATGGGGGTATAGACCATCCCTTCATTATTTTGTCCACCAATAGGCCTAATATCCAACATACCAATTGGCTCATTAACTTCCAGCTCTACATTTCCTGTTTTTAACAAGTGTTCAGTTCAACACAGTCCTTGAATCATATTGAGTTGGCCTAGTATGTTTGCACTAATTTAGTGTCTGTCTGCCTTCTGTACTTTTCCCATCACCACTTCTTATAGGTTATTGAAACATGTTATGAACTTTTACATACTTTTTACAGTTGAGTTCACACCTTGGCTAAATTTGTAGGCTCAATTATTTCAACAGTGCATATATATTATTAAAAAAATTCCAAAACAAAATTCCACTGCACACACTTTTCCCCCCGGGGGGAGAGGAAGAGAGAACAAACGTGACAGATGTTAATCACATCACTTAATCCACTACCAAATGTGCTCATACTATGAAGCTTAATCAATACTATGAATAACTCTATACCATCTTGCCTCATATTTAATGCCAGACAGGAAACATGACAGACATAGGCTGCTGGTTAAAGAGTGGTCTTTATTTCCTGGCCCCCATCTTGTGGCAGGAGAGAGGGTTGCAAGAAGTAAACTCATCATGTGGTCAAGGTCAGTATCAGCTGACAACAGTGGCTAATGTTACATTTTCTCTTTAAAAGTATACAGCACAAATGCAATATCATCCAAAACCAACCACTATCACTCACTAGTGCAACCAATTCAAACTGGAAAACAGGTGTTTTGAACAAGAAGTAAGGCATAAATTTCAGTTTCCTACAAATGGACCTTGTGGAATTGTACAAAACCTGTACTGAAGAGAATGAATAACTAGGTTAGCACTGTCTTAAAAGACCATGGTTTCAATAAGACCAAATTTCAAAGTGCAAGATGTGAACTGAATGCGGTTAGTAAAGTAATTCCAACCTAAAATCCTGTGATAGGTTTGATTCTTATCAATCATTGCAGCTTCAGTACATGGAAAATCTTTAGTATCATTTGATTAGCAGTTAAGAGCAGGGCTGGCTCCAGGCACCAGCTTCTCAAGCAGGTGCTTGGGGCGGCCGCTCCGGAGAGGGGCA